TGGCATATTTTTCCGAAGTTATAGCTGACAAAATATTCCACGCCTATCGGATGTGCCACGCCGCCTTTTACAAACTCGTTTATATATACCCTACTATAAGAACTTCCATTGATATGTCTGCATCTCAAATTTCAAGTTCGTGGGACTTATGGTTCCGAAGATATAGCTGATAAAAATTTCCACGCCTATGGAATGTGCCACGCCCCTCTTCTATAAACTTGTTTATATATACCCTCCTATAAGCACCTACCATTGACATGTTTGCATACCAAATTTCAAGTTCGTGTGACTTATGGTTCCGAAGTTAAAGCTGATAAAAAAATTCAACGCCTATGGGATGTGCCACGCCCCCTTTTACAAACTCCTTTATATATACCCTCCTATAAGCACCTACCATTGGTAGTCTGCATACCAAATTTCAAGTTCGTGTGACTTATGGTTCCGAAGTTATAGCTGATAAAAAATTCCACGCCTATGGGATGTGCACGCCCCCTTCTACAAACTCATTTATATATACCCTGTTATAAGCACATACCATTTGTATGCCTGTATACCACATTTCAAGGTCATGTGACTTATGGTTCCGAAGTTATGGCTGATTAAAAATTTCACGCCTATGGGGGGTGCCACGCCCCCTTGTAGGAACCAAATTTTTTCACCCTATTATAGGCCCAGGAGTCATGGCAATACTCTGTCAAAATTTTGTTCGATTCTGTCCGTCCGTTTAGGCTGCAACGTGGCACATACATTCATACTTCCACAAATATATAGTAGATTTGTTAGGTAACGAACTGCATTTTAATTCATTGAAAAACCTTAAAAATTAATAAATAAACATAAGTGGCAAACAATGTCATTTTAAATTTGGTACAAAATGTTATGTCCAACTTTGACTTTTTAAACAATTTAATTCTTGTAAAAATGACATACCATTGCACTAAATATTTTTCTATAAAGTTTTTCTTTACTTGTTTATGTGTTTAAATAATGCTACGATTTTGGTTTTAAACTATGCATACTTCATTAAATGTTGTTATTCAAGTATTTATGTAAGTTAACAAGAAGATGTCCTCAGATTAACGAAGGCATTCATATACTTTTAGCTTTGCCATACATAACTGCGTCCATTGAGAGGTCATTCAGCACATTTCGGCGTGTCAAAACTTGGCTACTATCAACAATGCAAGAATACCGCTTTAATGGATTATGCTTGCTCAGCGTTCACCGCAAACTGATTGAGCAAATGGGAGATGAAATTACAGAAAACGTTTTAAAGAGATTTTTTGAGGATATAAGAAAACTTATGCATAGTATTTTAATTGAATATTTCTATTATACACTACCTTAAACATATATGTAATACTTCTATATTGGCAGTAAGCTAACTTCTCAATGTGTAAGCATTCCGAAATCAAAGCGAGACAGTCTAGTACGGTTTTTGTCAATGTATTGTGTACTTGAGTGCCGTTTTTGTATATGTGTCATCCCACATAGCATTTGGAAGATTACTTTAATAAAAATCACCTTTATCAGTCTTCTTCGATCACTTGTGATGATTAAAAACTGATTAATCGCTTCCGCGATTAAAAAAAGACTCGAAAATTACTCACGCTTACGCTTGAAAAATGATTTATTGAAAATATATTTAAAAAAATGGGCAATCATAAATTGATCATTCTGGGGATTGAAATGTGCTTTTTCTTTGCTTGTTT